AAAACGGTTACTAGTGGCCCACAAATCTAGCACAAATTAGGCATCTGACATCCCAACCCCTCACGAAGATTAAGATGCTGCACATACAAACACCGCTCCTAGTTGGGTGGGTCTTGTTCCAATTTTGACGTGTTGCGCGTCCATTACTAAATCACTAAGTGGACATGAACGTATCATCCAACATCAACATCCGTCGGTTGCAAGCAACCCTTCTTGTGAATTGTGTGTCTGAGTCTTTCCTTTCAAAATATTAAATATTATTCAACATCAATATTTAATATAATTTCTTACCGTGTATAAAAAATCAATTTAAAAAACATAATTTCTATTGTAATTTATAATAAAAATATAAAAAAATTAAAAATAATATCAAAACATAAGTATTTTAAGAATTAAACTTAGGAGACATTTGCTAGAAGAGACAAAAAAATTATCGGGAAATTATGATTTCCGATAATATTACTAAAAAATTATTTGGTACGCCAAACTTTTGCGGAAAATATTAGGTTATCTTTCTGATGCTAAGTTTGATTAATTATAAAATATTACTAAGAATATGGAGTAATTTGATGAAAATAACCTTTCATCTTTTTTATTGTCCTCCACTTTTTTTATACAAAAGAGAAGAAATAAAAAAACATAGCACACAGAGTTTACAGTATCACAATGACAACAATTTTTCAGCGAAGTGTCGAATGCAGAAGAGTTCAAAAGTGCAAGGAAACCCCAACTTGAATCGTTGGGAATAATAGATTCTGGGGCGTTCCGACAAAGAAGGTAAGTCCATCAGCTTCATAATCAGTTCCAAGTTTGATGACAAAGGTGAAGATAGTGAAAAAACTTGCAAGCCTCCCAGTACTAGTTTTCCAAAGGTGCACTGGTGCAGAATATAAGGCTCACCAGCACTTCTTTGAAGCGGGTAACCAGATTCGTCTGTCTTTGAAGTGGGCATCGCCTTGGAAGATTATGTCATTTGCATCTGACCATAAATTGGCGAAGTAAAGGAAAGTGAATATGATGAGTTCACCTTGTTGAGTAGCAACAGGAAGAAGAAGGGAGTTGGAGTTGCTGATTCCGGTGGACGACCTTGTGATTGAGAAGTGGAGGCTGTGAAAAAGAAGAAAGAGGAGGAGGTTGAGTAGTGTAAAGAACCTTGGGATACACCACTCCAAAAGCTAGCTTAAAGGGTGAGAGTGCCCAAGACCTTATAAACTCCACATTAGTTGCTCATACAACCAATGTGGGACGATATATCTCAACACACCCCCTCACACACAAGAGTCCATTGGGCTTGAAGAGTGGATGTTGCAACAGGCACAACAGCCTACCTGTGCAAAGAAATTCCACAAGAGAAAGTGGGGGGCGGCGAGGTTTGAACCCGGGACACGAAGCTCTGATACCATGTAAAGAACCCTGGGATATGTAAAGAACCTTGGGATACACCACCCAAAAAGCTAACTCAAAGGGTGAGAGTGCCCAAGGCCTTATAAACTCCACATTAGTTGCACAAACAACCAATGTGGGACTATATATCTAAAGACGCCCCCTCACACGAGAGCCCATTGGGCTAGAAGCGTGGATATTGCACAGGTCCAATTTTTGGTTTACCTTTTTGTGCTTTTATTTTAATTTCACTTTAAAGTGAGGGGCGGTGAGGATCGAACTTGTGACCTTATAGTCACTCAAGCTCTGATACCATGTAAAGAACCTTGGGATACACCACTCCAAAAGCTAGCTCAAAGGGTGGGAGTGCCCAAGGCCTTATAAACTCCATATTAGTTGCAAATACAACCAATGTAGGACTATATATCTCAACAAGTAGCAACAGGAAGAAGAAGGAGTTGGAGTTGCTGATTCTAGTAGACGACCTTGTGATTGAGAAGTGGAGACTGTGAAGTAGTAGGAGGGTTAATTTTGTCTCGAAAAAATTAGCACGGTTTCATATCGCATGGAAAAAAAATACCATGCCTTGGATGGTATTTTGAGTCGGGAATCACCTGTGTAAAACAAAAGCATAAGAAAAAAACTTTCATAGGATGATTTTTACTCTTTCTCCTACCAGACGTGAGAAAATAATTTTTCTCATCCCACTTTACCAGGATTCCCAAAAAAAAAATCATCTACCAAACAGCACCTTAAGGGGCGTTTGGTACCGGAAAATAATTATCACCGGAATGTAGTGAGAAATATATTTTACTCGAATGTTAATAAAAAACTGTTTGGTAGACCCATATTTTCCTGAAAAAATGAAATTAATTTTATTAAGTTTGAGTTTGGTTGGTTATGAAATATTAGTAGGGATGTGAGGTTATTTTACCAAAATAACCCCACATTTACCCTTTATTTGGTTGATTCAAATATTCTAATAACAAACGTTGCTGAAGACAATCTGAGACAGATCTGGGTTTGAAGACAAATATTCAAAAAAATCATCAATTACTACAGATAAATGCTTCCTCTAGAATGAAATGTATCGAGCCAAGGGAGAGGCCATTTTGTAAGTCCTTGTCAACTAACACACGCAAAGACAACACAACGGCTTCCACCCTCGAAGGATTCTTCATGCATGTAGGTTCGATTTCAACATTCTTCAACTGAACCTTCGGATGTGGCAACTGCGGGTGACTTGCAAGCTTCGACGATTGTATAGATCTTATTTCAAACGTTGTGGTAGCTTTTGCAAAGACCAAAAATGTACAGATCGTAAAAATTGGAGATCATTTTTGTCCATTTTTTCGTACTTGAATTTTGCTTCCCCGGGAACTCAACAAATCCACATATTTTTTGGATTAAAGATTTATCAAACCGTACCAAAATTAACACACACACACACATTTTCCTGGAAAGAAAGTTGCCAAGAGAAGTTATCACATTTGAGCTACCAAACGTTGCTAACATTTTCCCCGCACCATGCATTTCCGGTCATTCTAGAAAAAGTCGCGTACCAAACGCTCCCTAAGAAAATTAGGTAAAAAAAACCAACCCCTTACATTTTATATTTTTCTGTTTTAGAATTGGATACCCTTAAGGGGCGTTCAATAGAGGAGATTTTCTTTTATTCGAGAATCACGATTGCCAAGAATATAATAAAAAATTAATTTTTTCTTAAATGTTACTAAGAAGTTGTTTGGTAGGCTCAAATTTTCTCGAATTTGTGTTTAGTTGATTGTGAAATATTAATGAAAAAGTAAAATTATTTTACAAAAAATAACCTCACCTTTACTTTTTGATTCAAAAACCTATGCGCAATTAAAGTTTCTCAGCTCAAGGTTAATTTGGTCCACACATTCGTGATTTATTTGTCACTTCCTGAGAAACGAACAATACCAACAATTTGTGCTGCTGTCCGTACTTTCTTTTCCACATCAAAACGACCAAACGTAGCATTCTTACTTGCCCAAGGTTACTTTCTCAGGTATTTACAAATAATCTTGATACCAAACAACACTTAAGGGTCATTTGGTAGAGGAGAATTTTTTTTTTATCCGAAAATCACAATTTCTGAAAATATGATGAGAGAGTGAGTTTTCCGAGAATATTAACTAAAAGTTGTTTGGTAGGTTAATTTATTACCAAAAACTTAATTTTCTCGAGTCTATGTTTGGTTGATGTTAAAATATTTCTGGGAATATGTGATGAATTTACTAAAATATCCCTTGTAATTCATTTTGTTTATTCAGTAAAATATTAAAGAGTTATTTTTTTATTTGAATACAACTACACTACCGTTTTAGTTTTTTCCGCCTCGTACCCATTATCAACACCATCGTTCATTACCCCCTCCCCCTTCTCTATCTATCACCGATCGAAGTCTAACAACAAATATTCGTTCAGAAACTATACTCACAAGTCGAACAATTTGATTTAATTAACATATACCCCTCACAAAAAAAAAAAAAAAAAAATAAAATCATTTCCACAGGCTGTTTGGACTTGCAAAAGGAATTGCGACCATTTTTCGGAACAGCTAAACTGTCGGAGCAGTTGTCCACCACTTTTCGGAGAGTAATGAGGCTATTTCTTCAAGTCTCTTTCTCAAATCCAATTTCTTCAGGTTGTCTCCTTCAGAAGGCAAGTACACGAATCAGGGTTATTTCACAAATTTTGGGATTAATTTTCCATCTCCCAGGAAAATTGAGAATACCACTATCTGGGTGGCATTTTTCGGTAGTATTCTAATCACAATTTATACACAAAAAGGAATCCAAGGCATCCTCACTTCTCCGGGATTATTTTCTAAAATGTTGTACTAAAAACCTATCCCAACTTTTAAGTAGTGTTTGGTAGAAGTTTTATTTTGAGATTGATTGAGAAAGTGTAAGTAGATATTGGAAAATATCACGTTTGGTTCAGGGATGGAAAATGACTTTTGTGTTAATTTTTGGATGAAATTCACTATTACAAAATATCACTTGTATTTTGAAATAATTAGGGAAGTGAAAAGAACAGGTACGAAATTTCTCCCGAACATTAATAGTTCGGTCAACAAAACATCTTTTTTTAAACTTTCCCATCAAACTGACTTTCTTACCATTTCCTCAATTATTATATTTCCTTGGTAAAAAAAATTTATCCTCTACTAAATTCCCTTTTATATTTCTTTGTCAAAAATTGCACATTGCTGCCATCGAGTTTTGAACTTTGAAATTTTCTTTCTTCCATGATTGTGGCTAGATGTATAAATAGACTAGATTAAAATTCGACTTAGGCTTAAATAAATCAAACTTGCTTAAAATATTTTAAGCTGACCAGTTAGTCTTATGTAGACCTAAATTACAAATTTGACATAATTTATATTTAAAAAACAAAAAACTTGACCTAATATAAAATCATTAAAAATAAATAATTTATTTTAAACTTGACCTAATATAATTTATATTAACCTATTTAAACTTATTAAATATTCAATAATTAAAAAAATAATTACTTTATTATTTAAAATCATTAAAATAATAATTTATTATATTTTTAAAAATAAATAATATAATATAAAATCCATTACATAAAAAAAACTTATAGCCTACTTTCTAATAACCTAAATTTATTCTATTTGACTATAAACAATAAATAAAACCTAGCCTGATATAGATTAGGTAGTAAGTCGGTATAGATAGGTCTAACCCATTTAGACTCTTAATTATGGCCATTAATTAATGATTTAGATTTTTTTAGTAATTTTGTCTAATGTGAATTCCTTTCTTATATATGTATTTTACTTTTTGTCCTCGCTCCTTTCTTATATATGTATTTTACTTTTTGTCCTCGCTCCTTCCTGTACAGGTACATCCACAAAAGTCAATGACTCCATTCTGTCACGAAATTTAATAATGTCAGTTTCAAAAATTAAGAATTTATTTAAAAGACACATATGGAATTCGCCTTCCACCATACAAAGTATACAAAGTCCAGCTGCCCAACCAACCTGCAATTAAAACAACATAAAAAATAAATAAATAAAAAAGAAATAGAAAAATTGAATAAAAATACCTGGCACCAAACGCAAAGCAACATGACGAACGTAACAGTGAGTGAACGGCGGCACGGGTAACGGAACAGTCCCGAACGACGTAACAACCAAAACGGAAACGGGGACCATCGACGGAAAACATAACGAAATCACAACAACGCTGAAAAGAGAATCGTGATGGGTCACGTAATTCATCAATGGTGTTCGCAGTACCCAGGAACCTTGTTTAGGTTTCAATTTTAATTAAAATTTTGATTGGAGAAATATAATTCAAGCCCAAAATTTAGCGTGAGTTGTTGATTTAAAATACGCGAGTTTTAAAGATCGATTTTAAGTAAAGGAAAAAAAAAGTCCAGAACTCTTGCTTCCATAGCAAATGTTATGTACAAAAAAAGCAATCCTGTGTTTAAGTATCATAGATCTATGAAGGAAATCTTCGGTGAGAAATCATCACTTTACTCCAGACGACGAAATCAAAACTCGCCGGAGAGGACTCGTTGCTACGTAACAGCTTCGCAGGAACAGCAGCGTGCAAAACATGAACGAACCTGTAAAAGGAAAAGAGGGAAAAATCATAAATCTTGGGCCTTGGACATGACGGACAGACGACTGGGCCTGGGCTCGAAAGCCGCTCTTCTCCTCTGTTGATGCGAAGAGGGCCTAATCAATGCGGTTAGGGCTCTTTTGACCCACTCGCCTTCCACACCTCCGATCCTCACCAGCGAGTTCTTCATCGCGGATCTACGCATGTTGAGACGGTTGGAAGGGTACGAATCGACGTTGTTGTTGTTGTTGTTGTTCCCCGTGTTCTTGTGGAGGCTGCAACGGAACGAACCTGGGTGCGTCGTCGGCGAGCACATACATGACTTCTTCTGGATCGAGATGGGACGGTTGTTCTTGGAAATAATCTGGTTCGAAATAGACCGGTTCGGAGATATGGACCGGGAATCAATCGAGAACCGGACTCCCGAAGAGAGAGGGGAAGAGTTATTATATATGTTAACACGAGTGGGTGAAGCGGAACGATGATGACTGTGTTGATTATGATGTTGGTTAAAGAAAGTGGAAGAACGAGACGAAAAGCTAGAGCTTGTGGAGGAAGCAAAGCCTGATGATGGCGAAGAAAAAGGGGTTTTTGATCTTGTGTAAGAGCAAAATCTGCTAGAGGATGAGTGTGAGCGTAAAACTGGTCCACTCGATTTGGTTCTGGAAGACGAGGAAGCCATGTTTGACGCAAAAGAGAGAGAGAGAAGAGGATTGTTCTGAAAGGTCCCCTTTGAGGAACTGGTTTGGCAAACCTAGCGAGTCTCGGAGGCTGGTTTTATAGATGGTGACGGCGTGAGGGTAAAGAGTGATTAACTGCAATATCAGGGGTAGTCTTGACGTAGGGTGATTCGTGTTAGTTAACTCAACCATAGTTCAGTCAGGGTTAGTTGCATATGGCGTAGAAAAAGTGATGGGTTTATGGTTAGGATTCGGATCCAACGGCTGCGATGTGGACTTCTCAAAACGATGAAAAGCCAGAGCCGTTCCTCTAACAGCTTTCCTTGGAAACCGTAAAGGCTGCCACGTATAACATTATTCGGGAAGCGGTCCAATGCAAATGTACCAGAAACCCACTTCTTTGTCGCTAATAACATTGTGCCATACCACATTCCCTGTTTTTTTCCTTTTATTATTGTCCCGAATCATATCCTTTTATTGCTCCACCGAAAACGTCTTTCCTTTCTTTCTCTCAATAATTGTTTCTTCTAACGTTATTTTGGGATCACAAATTCACAATAATGGTCTGCATATGCAAGAAATTCACTGACATTCATAAATTCATTAGTATTGATGTAAAAAATATTTTTATATTAAATAAATTTATAACATATATATTTGCACTCTGTTATATTTTAATAGTTTAAAAACAATTTTTATAGTTTTCCAAATGCAGAATGTCGGACACCTTAACTTAAAAGTTGCCTTGGTTCTGAATGACTCTACATCCGCATAATAATAATTTTTTTTTTTATAAATCACAGGTCCAAAAAATATAACATTAACGGAGTGTTTGGTCGATGAATTTTTTTTTAATACTAAGGAAATGTAATTATTAGAGAAATAATTAAAAAGTGAGTTTGGTAGAAAAATGTAAAAACAGTTGTTTGGTTGAAAAAAAATTATCAAAAAAATTTGGTAAATGTTATAAAGTATATGTTTGGTTTGAGTTAAAATATTAATGAAAAAATGAGCTGTAATTATCAAAATACTCCTTATTTTTTAATATTTTGAATCACATGTGATACCCTTTTACCTTTAAATAATTTGGTATGATAGTCACTAAATTCTTACTTTTGGTGTTATTTACTTGGAGAACGAGAAATACAATATAACAATTGGAAATATGTCGCCTTTATTATTAGGGAGTTTGACATGCAAATCAGTTTGTTCGGGTAATAGTTTAGGTACGCAAATGATAAAAGTGGGACAACCAAACATGGTGAAGCCACATTCTCAATTGATTTTTTTTTTTTTTTTTTTTTTTGATAACATGACTTTTACTTATCTATCTTATGAGATATCCTCAACCAAACACAACCTAAGAGAAGGGAAACGTGTTTGTTATTTTAAATGACATAACTTATGTCATTTCACTCTCACAAAGAGATGAGACCCATAACTTCATATTTTTTTGTCCACTCTCTTCTCCTTTATCTATCTCTTTCATTTACTTAAAATGACATAATTTTACATCTTTAACATGATGCACAATGACAAATATTTCATTAATTCAAATCTACAGTTATCAGCACAATAAATAAGGCAGTTATATTGGGCAATATTACTACCCAATATTAATTCATTGTTCAATATAATTGCCTTATTTATTAGGCTAATAACGGCAAGTTTGAATTAATCAAATATTTGTCATTTTGCAATATATCAAATCTTTCCCTTATTGATATATTATTCTAATGAATTAATCAATTCTGCAAAAAGAAATATTGGATATTAAATTAATAATTAATAAAATTATATCAAATATTTTCCTTAAATTAAATCATCTTTATATTTATTATATTTTCCTAAAACAAAATAAAAAAAAATCAACATTTATGAGACATTCAATTTGCATAATTGATTAATTTATTGAGTTGATAACGTTTGAATCATGTGAGTGTTAAATGTTTTTTATACTTGCGTATGCTAATTGGAAAACAAATCGACTTTATTATTTATTATAATTTCCAAAAAAAAGCAAAAAATAAATCAGTATTTATTGGACATTAAATTATCTTTATCGTTCTCTAATGGATACTCCATGTGCATATGCCACATTGCACTATAATCTTTGCACTATCCAACGACTTCAATCTTCTCTCTCCACATGTCAAATTATCACGCAATGCGATGTACAGTAAAGCGACTTAGGCCTGACATGTTGATTGGTTAAAAATACTAGACTGTCCAGCAAGTTTACATGGCTTCAAACTCGATGTCACGTGTCCAAACATAATATGCCAGGTGTTGTAGCGTTTTTTGGTAATGTGGCATTTTGACAAATTTCGTAGAGGTAGTGTGGCATTTCAATAAATTTTTGCCAATAACGTAGCAAAATGGTCGTTGTCCCTATTTAGTCTTTCTAATTATTTAAAATTATAAGTATTAAGTATTTTTAAAAAAGACACACTTAATATTTGGCTTTAAGAAATAAATTATTATGACTTAGGAACTTGCAAAGGAGGATTTAAAATTATTTAAAAAAAATTAAATATCAATAAAAAATATTGTCCATTTAAAATTTATAGATTCAAAAAGGAAAAAATGTTTATCTTTTTAAAGAACATTATTATGTTATTTTAAATGAGAGAAAGACATAATCTAATATTTTTTATTTTAAGAAAAATCACTCGTTTTCTCTCTCATGATTTTCATTACTTGTGTATTTCTCTCAGTTAAAATTACATAATTCTATGTCCTTTAAAAGGACATACACTAAACTCATTCATAAAACATTTAATGTTTTAAAAGTATTAAATTATAATTGACATTTAATTTATTATTGTCTATATTATTTTAATTATTTATATAATAAAATTTTAATTAATTCTATATTTTTATAATATTAAGGATTTTTATTCAATATTTATTTTTAACTCTTCAACATTTATCGTGAAAATATATCATAATACTTAAATGATTGAACTCAGTTGGCACCATAAAATTGAGCGGGTGGGGTGAGAGCATGTGTTCAATTTTTTCTTGTACCATCTTTGGAATGACTGTAAAGTCTTAATTATGGGACCTGCCTCAAATCACACTAATTACGAAGCGATGAACTTACTCCAAAAAATTAATAAATAAGAATATATCTAGATTCATAAAACATTTAATGTTTTAAAAGTATTAAATCATAATTGACATTTAATTTATTATTGTCTATGTTATTTTAATTACTTAAATAATAAAATTTTAATTAATTTTCAATTTTTATAATATTAATAATTTTTTATTCATATTTATTTTTAACTCTTCAACCTTTATCGTAAGAATATATCATAATAATCAAATAATGATAGTTTAGTTAGTGTCAGAAAACTGAGCAGGTGGAGGTGAGAATGTTTGTTCGATCCTCTCTAATACTGTCTAAGGAGTTTAAACTTTAATCCTGAAACCCACCTCAAATTGGACTAATCGAGAAATGATAAACGAATTGGAATATTTTCGAAGAAAAATATAAGAATATATCATAAGAAATTTTTTATAAAAAGATATAGGAGGGAATGATTGAATCAGCTATCGGGTTTGGCCTCAAAAAACTTGTAGCAATTTATGACCCTTTATTGATTTATTTTTTATTTTTTTGGTAATGAACTTAATTGCTTTGGCCTAAAAAACTGGCAGCAATTTATGACCCTTTATTGACAACTTTTTTTTATATATTAACATTGAATTTGATTTTATAAAATTGGATAAAATGAATTTCTATTCTCATTTCTAACGTGCATTTAAAAAGAGGGAGGAGGGGATAAAGAATAGACGACGGATATTTTCATTACCAAAATTTTTCACTACCAACTTACTACTTATCTAATCATCATTGAATTAGCATTTTCTCTCTCTTCAAATTTTTTTATCATTCTCTCTCTTTGATCCAATGGTAATTAAATAGATAGTAAATTAGTAGTGAAAAATTTTTATTGTGAGAATATCCTTCTTCTAAAGAATAACTATGATTTTTATACTTCATATTGATAAGTGTAACTAAATAGGAGCTAGCAATATAATAATAGTTAACACAAATGTAGCCTATGAAGCACCGACACTACAAAAGCTCTGACGTGTCGTGTCCGACACTCTCTGACACTCCCCGACACTCCAACACGCGTTATAGAAATTCAAAAAAAATATTCAAAGGTTACGTTGCGTTGAGTTTTTAGTTCTAACTATTAAATTCGTTGGATTACAATTACCATTTTATTTAGTTTAATATAAATATTTGGGATATCTTATGTTTCTTTGCAAAATTTATGAATATTATAAGTTTAGATTCATTTTTTTGTTAAGTTATTGAATATTAAATATAATATATACTACATAAATTAAAAATATTATTTAATATCAAAACGTGCCCTAACGTGTCGATATCTAATATTTTTTAGAATTAACGTGTCGGAGTGTCGTGTCGTATCGTGTCACGTATCCCGTATCAGTATTGGTGTTACATAGGATGTAGCGATCTTTGTGAGAATAAAAAACATCAGCTACTTGAACTTCGTTATTTGAATTTGAAAATATTCGAGGGAATGACTTTCTCTACCGCCAAACAGGTCAGTGGCGGTTTCTTTAGACTAATTCAATTTGGTAGGTTTTGCAATTCAATTATTCCACTGTTGGATTTTTTTTGTTCCTCCCAGTTTTATTGACACTTCGTAAATTTGAATGGCAAAGTAAATAAAAAAAATAAAATTGCGACGCTGATGAGAGAACAAGTGGTACAATTTTCTCTTTTTTCTTAGGTATTCATTTATATTTTTTACTATTTTCTCTTTGTTCAGTGAAATATTTATTCATCATAAAGAAAAAAAGAAACTTAATAGGTTCTTATAGTTATACTATGGGAAAAAAAATTCTGATATTACTTTAGACAATTTTGTCTATTGTTCATTGAAACGACGTCGTTTTGGGGTTGAAAAATTAAAAAATTAAAATGATAAAGACTATTATAACCCTGAAATAAATTAAAATTACAAAAACGACGCCGTTTCGATGAACATTAGATAAAGTTCTCTA